TGCACCCCAATGTTCATCGCAGCACTGTTTATAATAGCCAGGACATGGAAGCAACCCAGATGCCCATCAGCAGACGAATGGATGAGGAAGCTGTGGTTCATATACACCATGGAATACTACTCGGCTGTTAAAAAGAATTCATTTGAATCAGTTCTAATGAGATGGATGAAACTGGAGCCCATTATACAGAGTGAAGTAAGCCAGAAAGATAAAGACCAATACAGTATACTAACGCATATATATGGAATTTTAAAAGATGGTAATGATAACCCAATATGCAAAACAGAAAGAGATGTACAGAACAGACTTTGGGACTCTGTGGGAGAAGGCGAGGGTGGGATGTTCTGAGAGAACAGCACTGAAAGAAGTATACTATCAAGGGTGAAACAGATCACCAGCAGAGGTTGGATGCATGAGACAAGTGCTCAGGGCTGGTGCACTGGGAAGACCCAGAGGGATCGGATGGGGAGGGAGGCAGGAGAGGGGACCGGGATGGGGAACACATGTAAATCCATGGCTGATTCATGCCAATGTATGGCAAAAACCACTACAATATGTAAAGTAATTAGCCTCCAACTAATAAAAATAAATGAAAAACATATATATATAAAATAAATAAATTAAAAAAATAAAAGTATGCTGTGCATTCCTAGAGAAAAGAAAAAAAAAAGAGTCTAAGATTGCTTCCTTCTAGCATGACAGGTTCATTAGTGCCCCTAAACTTTGAGACAATTACTAGTAACATTTACAGATTCTCTTAGTTTTCTAATGAGGCACTTTGTTAATAAAATAGTATCTAAGAAATCTCATAATTAATGCAAAAATTCAAGGTTAAAACTGAAGCTCTACAGCTATTTCTGAAGCCATGATTTACAAACTTTAGTCTAAGAAATAAAAAACTATTATCTATTACATTTCTGAAAGGATACACAAAATAATCAAAGTCAATTGGTCTGCTAAGTAGAGAACAGACATTCAGCTCTTTATATAGAGCCACTAGAAAAAAGCAATAATTTGAGTTATAAAGATTGTAGACAACCACCAAGTGAGAGGCTTAAGGTGAGTAACAAAATCATGCTTTAGCAATATTCTGTAATGGGAAGAGGCATTAGATATGGAGTAGAAGACTGGATCAAATTCTGTCTGCTCCAACTCTGTGTTCTGGCCAAGATATTTAGCCTTTTAAAATTGTTTTAAAGTTTATAATTATGAATGATTTTGAACATTCCATAAAGTATTAAAAATGACACCTACAGAACAGATTTAACTATTAACTTATTTTACTTTTATATTCATCTCTTTGTTTCTGCTGTTTGTTATAGGCATAGATCAGTTACCTTTTTATTATAGGGTAGTTATAGCCAAACATAGTCAAATACTAAGTACTTAACTACCATTACTACTTTGATACTCTGGAAAATGCCACACAGAAAACAGAATCACTATTCACAATTCAGAAACTTGCTACAAAAAAAAAGCCCCACAAAAACAAGCTAATATACTATATTTCATTGAAGTTTAAGAACTTGAGTTATTTATGTACCACTATGAGAGGATAATGGCCAATTAAACTCTCAGAGCACATTTTTTTTTTAATTACAGAAAATTTCAAACACAAAACAGAAGTATAATGAAATCCGATTATACCCATATCCCAGTTTCCACAATTATTAATTCACATCCAGTTAATTTTATTACTACTATCTTAAGTAATTTTGAAGCAAACTATAAACATCCTATCATATTCATGTGTAACTATTTTAGTAGATAACTAACTTAAAAAGATGTGTTCTGTGGGGGAAGATATCAATAAACAAAATACATCCAATAATTCCTTATTACCAAATACCTAATGTTCAATTTTCTCCAGCTGTTCTTAAAGTTATCTTTTACTTTCCTTTTACAACATAATAGAATAAGGATCCAAATAATCCAGTTGTGACTGGTTGAATGTCTCCTTCATCTCTTTTAATCTACAGGTTCCCACTCCCACTTCTAAACTCCCTTCAATTTTCTGACAGAAGAAGGCAGATTATTTGTCTGTGGTCTCTACGTTTTGCTGACTGTATCTCCTTGTTGTTACTTAACATGAATCTCAGTCTCTGTATGTCTTATAAATTAGTAGTTAGATTTCTTAACTGGATGCAGTTTTGTTTTTTGGGTTTCTTTCTTTTTCCCTTTCGTCACACTATTGCATACTTGTACTTACTTCCATAAGGAAATGTTTAATAACAGCTTCCCTGATAGCTCAGTTGGTAAAGAATCAGCCTGTAATGCAAGAGACCCCAGTTTGATTCCTGGGTCAGGAAGATCTACTGGAGAAGGGATAGGCTACCCACTCCAGTGTTCTTGGGCTTCTCTTGTGGTTCAGCTGGTAAAGAACCCTTCTGCAATGCAGGAGGGAGACCTGGGTTTGATTCCTGGGTTGGAAAGACCCCCTGGAGAAGGGAAAGGTTACCCACTCCAGTCTTTTGGCCTAGAGAATTCCATGGACTGTATAGTCCATGGGGTTGCAGAGTTGGACACAACAGTATGACTTTCACTTTCACTTACTGATCACTGCCTAAATGCTGTGATGTTCATTTACAAAATTGGTGATGTTCAAATTCCACAATTTTCAATTATTTGCTGAAATATTTTTATAAGAAACAAACTTTCCTTACCTTGATGTACATTTTCAATTACCTTGATGTATAGCTTATATAAAAAAGGCAAGGTAGATGTTTGTATCTTTCCTTTCATATACTGGCTTTAAAAATGAGTCTAAACCAACACAATGTTATAAAGCAATAATCCTCCAATTAAAAAATAAATTTTAAAAGTGAGTTAACTTCCTAGCATCCTCTAAAATAGACCAATTAGTCTGCTTATTTATTTACTGATAAGGTAGCATGATGAACTCATGAACTTTGACAAATCTGGCAAGTTTCAATGACTGTCCCTCTTCACAGTTACTGAATATTATTCCCCTTTTTGATGCTTAAATTGTTCCATTTTTGGCTACAGGGAACCCAATCTATTGTTGATTCTTGTTGAATCTATAGTTGATTCTTGTTCAATGTATAGTTGATGCTTGAGACTTTTTGTTATAATCCTAGCACTTCTTTGAAAGTTTACTTGTGCTCTATTAAAAAAAAATGTTCTAGGCATATCTTATTTATTTACTACCTCAAACCTGGAAACATTTATTTATTTCAAGGAGCCCTGGTTCTTTTATTTGGAAAACACAAACTGGGCATCAGAACTGAGTCACGGTGTTTTCTTACCACTTAGAATTTTTCTGAATTACCGAAAAAGCCCTTTTGGACTTTGTAGTGGGTTGAAAGTGTCACCCCCCCCAAAAAAAATACTCATATCAACCTGGAGCCTCAGAATATGACATTTAGAAATACAGACATGGCATAAACAATTAAAGAAAGATTGACATGAGATCATACTGGATTAGAGTGGTCACTAAAACCAATGAGTATGTCCTTATCAGAGACAAACAATGATACAGAGACACACAGAGCAGAAGACCGTAAGAAGACAGAAGCGGAGATTCCAGAGATGCAACTACAAGTCAAAGGATGTGAAGGACCGCCAGGAGCCACCAGAAATTACAGCAAGAGGCAAGGAAAGAATCTTCCCTAGACCCCACAGAGGGAGCAAGGATCTGCCAACACCATAACTTCAGACTTCTAACCTCCAGAACAGGGAAGAAGTAAGTTTCTGCGGCCTTAAGTCACCAAGTTTGTAATGAATTCCAATAGCAGCCAGAGCAAACTAATATAGACATAGCTTCTATTTAACTGATAAAAATGAATATATGTGTATATAATAAATTGGTTAAGGCGTCGTAAACCTTCATTAATGCAAAATCCAATTTTTTCTAATTTTCATCCCAAGTTTGTTGATAACCATTTTTCACACAGTATCATCCTCTATGCTATCCAGAAGAGTGGTGATTTGTAGGAAATATAGTCAGTAAATATGTAACATGTTGGTATAGCGACAGTTGCTAAATGGACTTATCATGGTGATCATTTTAAAACATATAGATTTATCAAATCATTATGTGTGTA